GGTACACGCACCCACACAGAACTGCTGATACTGCTGCTACTGTCTGCATCACCCTTCTTGTTGTTTGTGAGTTCAGGAGGAAGTGTTGTTGTTGTGGTGGTAGTGGTTGATTCTGTATTTCCTTCAGCACCTTCTTGGGTACTTGGTGACTCACCCTCTGTAGGTTTAGTGTCATTCGCAGCAGTTGTAGCATCACTCCCAGCAGCATTTTCACCGACACTCTCGGTTTCTGAAGTGGTGGGTGAAGAAGAGGGTTGGGCAGGATCACCTCCCTGGAGAGCTCCACTCTCCTCTGTTGTACTGCCGCCGATGTTTCCAGTATGAGTGTCAGTTGGAGATGGATCCCTTCTCTCCTCATTAGTCGTTGACTGAGATGGAGGAGATACAGTAGGAGGAGCGGAAGAAGAGACAGGACCACTACCAATATGAGTACCAGAACCCTGCCTACTGCCATCTGTACCTCTTTCACCTGTAGGACCACCAGATACTGTATCTAGTCCAACTTCCTCAGTAGAACCCTTTTCATTAAGACCAGGCGCTTTCGGTATAGTTGGAGCTGGTTCCTTTGGTGAAGTTGGAGCTGGTTCTTTTGGTGTACAAGGAAGTTCAGAACCATTAGGGCAATCGCCTTCACTCTTACCATCCTCGGTAGTGCATTTCTCCTTTTCAGAATGTTCTTTGCACTCAGGAGAATCTTCAACTACCTCCGGGTTAGGTTTACACTTGGAACCCTCCTTGCCTGTATCACGACAATCACCATCACCAGCAGATAGATCTTCTGCCTCTTTAGTCTCTTCAGACGCCACACACACGCAGGCAACACTCAAAAGCAATGCCGTCAAAAACAACAGTCGTCGCAGAAACATCATGGAAAACAGTTACTTAAATAGATCAATGTAACCAAAACTCACAGAAAAAAAATTTAAAATCAATAAAGAAATAAAATGGATTCACATAAAAACAGAAGAAAAAAAGGAAAACACAAAAAAAAGCGAAACCTAGCAAAACCACAAGACAAGGCAACGCGCAAAATAATTTAAGAGGACAATAAAGATGCACAACACAAACAAATTCAAACAAAAGAAAAAACAACAAATTAATAGCACGAAGAGCGGGCCCAGCGAAAGTAAAAAAAACCAAGCTAAGGTTGCGTCCTATTTCATATGCAATTATAAATACAAACGTGTAACTGTTATTATTTCTTTTTCACTCTTTTCATAAACGATCACCATTAACAACGCAGGAAAAAGCAAAAACAAAAGGACACAGCAAATAAAAAGAAAACAAAAAGACATTAACCATTAGCCCAATTTACCCAGTAAACACACAGAAATACACAACAATTATGGGTGTAAGTCTATATATGTTTATATATACGCAATTACAAATATAAATTCATCTGTTATTATTATTTCATTTTCCTTTCATTGCAAAAAACAGTTCATCATTACAGTGCAAGCCCATGTGCACACACACAGAGAGTCTCCAAGAACATACACACACACAATGGAGTAGCAGCAATAATAATTATTATAGAATAAACACAGAGAGCAAAAACACACAACATTAAGAAACAAAAAAAGAAGATACTCCCAACAGGTGGAAGATTAGTTAGACTGTAGTGTAGATGTATGCAAAAAAGAGAAGAAAACAAAGGATGACCTTAGTCACACCACACCACACCACCACAATCAGCACACAATCAGCACACAAGAATACAGGCCAGTGTAACCACAATCAGTAGTGGTACACGCACCCACACAGAACTGCTGATACTGCTGCTGCTGCTGTCTGCATCACCCTTCTTGTTGTTTGTGAGTTCAGGAGGAAGTGTTGTTGTTGTTGTGGTGGTGGTGGATTCCTCTTTATTGGGTGTAGTTGTGGTGGTTGTGGTGGTAGTGGTTTCTGTATTTCTCGCATTATCTTCTTGGTTACTGGGCGACCCACCTTCTGCAGGTTTGGTGTCATTCCCAGTGTTTGTATTATTATCACCGGTATTCTCTTGGGTTGAATTGGTGGGAGAAGGAGAAGGTTGTGCTTCGGCATCTTCCGCTTTAGTTACACTTTCATCTGTTGTGCTTTGTTCACTGTTTCCAGTTCCCTCTTCACTTACAGGTACAGCAGGATTCCCAGCAGCAGGTGCAGCAGCAGCAGCAGGAGAAGCAACAGGTTCAGGTACTTTTCCAGCTTGAGAATGGTGAAGATTTTGTTCACCTGGGGCACCATCGGGACGTCCATCAGCCTTATCTTTATTTGGTTCATCAGAATTAGAACCCTTACCACCTGCAGGACCCACTGGACCATTGGGAACTTGATGTTCGTGTTCAGGTCTTCCACCATGTTCTGCTGTATCCGAAGAAAGAACTTCCTGGAGTGCCTTTGGTGCACAAGGACGTTTAGAATCATCAGGACAACTGCCTTCAGTTTTCAGTTCAGTGGGATGGCAACCATCCGTTTGAGAAGAGTCCGCACATTCACCACGAGGAAGTGCAGTTTCACTACGGCTACTTGAACAGTCTGAAGTAGTAGGAGACTCAGCTTTACAAGCATCATCAACACCAGCAGGAACAACTCCAGCATCTCCAGCAGTATGCGAATTCATTTGAGACACTTCAGCAAGTTCAGCTTCTTGTTGTGCCTCACCCGCCACCACACATGTCACGCTTAACAGCACAACCATAAGATACAACAGACGTCGCACGAGTATCATTTAGGCAAAAAAATATATTCTGTTGTTTAGGATCAGTTAACTGCAAAAAGAAGGAAAAACAAAAAAAACAATTGTAACACAGTATAAAGAAAAGAAAAGAGCACAACAAAACCAGCAGTTAAAATACATTAGAAAAAATGAAAAAAGAATACAGTAATACCACATACACAAAAGCCCAAGCAAAACAAAACAAAGAAATTAAGAGCACAAAATTCACAATCTAGAGAACTGTGCGTATGTTTGAGATAATATGAAATTAATACTATATTTGTCTGTTACTGTCTTATTTTTCCAAGGACTCACCATCATCATTGCCGCAGGGCAAAAAACATAATGACCCGCCAACCCACGAGCAAATAAAAAAAAAGATATTAACCATTAGCCCAATTTACACAGTAAACAGAGAAATACACAGCAACTATGTGTGTAAGTCTATATGTGTATGCACATACGCAATTATAAATATAAATTCATCTGGTAGTATTATTTCCTTTTCCTCTCACTGGAAAAAGCAGTTCATCATCATCACAGTGCAAGCCCAGGTGCACACAGAGAGAGTCTCCAAGAACACACACACACACACAATGGAGTAGCAATAATAATAATTATAGGATAAACATAGAGAGAGCAAAAACACACAAAAAACACATTAACAATAAGAAACATAAAAAGAAGAAAAAAAGCCCAACAGGTGGAAGATTAGTTAGACTGTAGTGTGGATGCATGCAAAAAAAGAAAAAAGAAAACAAAGGATGACCTGAGTCACACCACACTACCACTACAATCAGCACACAAGTATACAGGCCAGTGTAACCACAATCAGTAGTGGTGGTACACGCACCCACACAGAACTGCTGATACTGCTGCTGCTGTCTGCATCACCCTTCTTGTTGTTTGTGAGTTCAGGAGGAAGTGTTGTTGTTGTTGTTGTTGTGGTGGTAGTGGTTGTTGTATCTGTGTTACTTGCCACACCTTCAGTTTGGTTACTTGTTGATTCACTTCCTTCAGATGAAGTGCCACTACCAGTGTTTGTAGTTTCAGAACCGTCGCTACTCTCTTTGTCTGAAGTGTTTGAAGGCGTTTGTGTTGCGTCACCGTCCGCTTGTGTTGAATTGCCACCTGCGTCACTGTTTCTGCTGCTTTCAGGTTGAGCTGCACTTGTGGACGCAGCAACACTCTCATCAGAAGGTGCAGGAGCAAGAGGAGCAACAGCTTCAGCAATAGTAGGAGGATGGTTAGAAGGATCAGCATCAGTAGAAGGACCACCAGTACCAATTTTACTTGTTTTACCGGGAGAATCCGGAGTTTCAGACCCACTTACACCACGAGCACCTTGAGGATCGTCTCCAACACGGTGATCTTTTCCTGTTTGAGTGAGAGCCTGTTGCTCTGGTGGGCAAGGTTTACCAGAACCTTCACCGCAATTGCTTTCAGTCTGCGGAACACTTTCAGGGCAACCTTCCTTCTTAGGAAGTGTTTCACAATCAGTAGGAGAACCTGTAGTTGCAACACGGCTACTACTACACGTAGGGCCAGGTTTACCTTCAGAACAATCATCACCACCATCAGCTTCTTGTGTATGTTGTCGTTGTTCACCAGGAGAAATAGCTTCAGGATCTGCAGAATCACCAGCCGCCACCACACACATGCAGTGAAGACTGAAAAGCAAAGCCAGAAGATATCAAAGACGTCGCATCAATATGGCAAATATAACTTTTTCTTGTTTTCGTTCTCTGAACCAGACACCAAAAATAATGTTGAAATATAGAAAAAAGAGAAAAAGTTAACACAAAGGAAACAAGAATACATATACACAAAAGAGTGAAAACAAAGAAACCAAAAGTCACAAAAAATAATAATCACGTAGAGGAAACAATAATAAAAGTACAAAACGTCACCTCACACAATACCCAAGAAAAGCAAAGAAAAAACAAAAATAAAGTAATAAAAGAAACAAGGGCATCATCAAACACATAGAAAAGAAACCCATGGCTATGCTTGAGTTAAAGTGCAACTACGAATATAAATGTATCTTCTATTTTTTGTATTCTCTCTGCAGAAATCATATCAACAAAAGGGTGCAGGGCAAAACACACAACCACCGAAGCAAACCATAAGAAAAAAAAGAAACAGATATTAACCATGAGCTTAATTTACACAGTAAACATAGAAATATACACCAAATATGGGTACAAGTCTATATATATGTGTGTATACGCAATTATAAATTCATCTGTTATTATTATTTTATCTTTTCCCACTGCAAAAAGCAGTTCATCATCATCATCACAGTGCAAGCCCAGGCACACAGAGTGAGAGTCTCCAAGAACACACACACACACAATGGAGTAGCAATAATAATAATTATAGGATAAACACAGAGAGCAAAAACACACACAAAACACATTAAGATTCAGAAACAAAAAAAAAGAAGAGAAATCCCAACAGGTGGAAGATTAGTTAGATTGTAGGGATTGCATGCAAAAAAAAGAAAAAAGAAAACAAAGGATGACCTCAGTCACCACACCACCACCATTACTCAATCAGCACACAAGAATACAGGCCAGTGTAAACACAATCAGTAGTGGCACACGCACCCACACAGAACTGCTGATACTGCTGCTGCTGTCTGCATCACCCTTCTTGTTGTTTGTGGGTTCAGGAGGAAGTGTTGTTGTTGTTGTTGTGGTGGTGGTGGTGGTTGACTCACTCTCTGCAGGTTTTGCAACATTAGTTCCATTCTCTGCCTGTTTATTATGGGTAACATCTGTGGTTGTGTTGCTGAGAGAAACGTCACCTGTACTCTGAGTTGTGGGAGCAGAAGAGTCATGTCCATTATTAGTTCCTTGCACGTTAGGTTGTGTGGTCTGCGGATCTTGTGTTTCATGTGATTCTGTTTGTGAAGGCTGAGATTCCTGTTCGCTTAATACCTTTTCTTTTTCTGGTGTAGAACCAGGTACTTTTAAAGGAGAGTCTCGTGCACTTTCTTGAGCAGTGGATTGTGAATGGTTCTCCCCAACAGATGTCTCTAGTCTCTGATCTTCTTTTCCGTCCCCGCCACCCATATTGTGAGAGGCAACGTGTTCACCGTTTTTTATTCTTTGTGAATCGACTTGATTCGCAGCAAGTCCCTGTTCTTGAGAAGACAAAGTAGAAGGTAGTAGGCTACCAACGTGGCTACCTGCTTGCCGCGATGTAGAACCTGGTTGTTTCTCTGGATTAAGAGAAGGATGGGAAGAACTAACAGTTCTCTCTGGTAATGAATCCTCTGACTGTTTGCTACGCTCCGTTTCTGCAGGTTGTCCAGTATTCACATCTTCCGCCTTGCATTCATTCTTCCCACATACCATCGTAGAATAATAATCATCCAACTCATCAGGAATGAGTTCAAACGCAGGAATGGCATGATGAACAAGAGAAGGAACACCAACAGTAGAAGGTTTAATAGGGGCATCAGAAGCTTTAGGACTATCAGCCCATACCAATCCACAAGCACAACACAGTGCAAGAGTTAGTAAACAGAGCAGGTAACACCTCACCATTACAGCCTTTATCATTGTTGCTGATTATTCCAAAACACTAATACAACGAAAAAGAAGGAAGAGAGAAAGAGAGACACATAGTGAGTGGATGCAGGACACAAATACTCACAGTGGAATAGAGAGAGAGAAGCAGCAACTGCACAGTAAAGCAACAAAAAGGAATATCCTGCTTGTAGTAATAATATGTATAACTTAATAGAAAAGATAAGACCACACAATACCCAAATAAGAGAGAGCCAAACACACACACAATACTCCATGGCTCTAGTTTATGTATTAAATTACTACACACACACATATCTGTGTACTAGCAAGAGATGTATACCGCCAGTGAGCAGAACAGCCCAGTTTTCTGCAAACACACAACGGGAAAAGCAAGTAATGGAATTAATAGAAAAAGACCACACACACACAAAAGTAAAAAAGAAAAGATACTCCAATTAAAACGAGAAAGCTGGTAAACAGATTATTAGCTAGTTCATTCACCCATGGGGGATGTATGCAATTATGATTATGTTAGTTTAACCATTATTATTATTATTATTATTATTTGTCCTCAAGTGAGTCCCACCGTTCAGTACACGGTAACGGAGAACAACACAACCACAATCAGTAGAGGTGCTGCAGTGCGCATCCACATAGGACTGACACTGCTGTCAACATTAGCCTTGTTCTTCTGTACAGTGGAAGTAATGCTGCTGATCTCTGTGTTGGGTGCAGGAACAGGAGATGGAGTGGTGGTTGGAGCTTCTGTGGTAGTGTTCTCGGGACTCTGTGGAGTAGTGGAATTTGAATCAACATTACCATTTTCTTGTGAGTCTGGTGCGGCAGTCGCATCAAGAGTTGCAGGAGATTGCTGTGTAGCATTAGAGTCGGCAGGTGTACTGTTATCAGCTGCGTTGCCTGATGTCTCTTCACTACGTTGTGTAACCGCACCAGACGCGGGATTTTGCGCTTGGGTTGTAGTCGTAACAGCTTCTGTTTTTGGTTCAGTTGACTCACGAAGAGGTAAATTGGGAGACAATGGTGATGATCCCCTCTCCTCAGCTCTATCCTGTGAACGGTTGTCCGCCACATGATTTTGAGCCGGGTCCTCGCTCGCAGCAGCCTGCTTAGTGGGTTGAGAATCAGGTATAGCTGAATGTGCCTGTACCAGTACTTCCCCAGGTTTTTGGGTGTCTGTCCGCCTTCCCTGAGAATTGGCAGTAAGTTGTGAATTCTTATTTCGCTCTGTCGGTAATGTAATCGGAAAATCATCCATTCGACCCCAACTTCCCCATGTATCATTATTATAATTAGCCCAACCATCCCTCTCATATTCCTCCCGCCCCGACTTTACAGTAACAGTAGGAGTAGGAGTATTAGCAATGATTGCTGTCCTTGTTGTGGTTCTTGCCGCTGCTCTACCCGTACGCTGGCGGCAGAGGTCTGCGTACTTCCCACATGCAGACACACGGCTGCCCGCACCGCATGTAAGCCACTCGCTCTCAGCAGCGGGGCGTACACGCAGCGCACCGCCGGCCCCGCACGACACCTCCACAGCCCCA